TTTTTTTTTTTGAATAGGTATTGTTGCTATAGTTTATGCCATTAAGTCTTTACATTGTGAACGTGATGGACATTATGAACAAGCATTTATACATGCAAGACGTTCACTTTCTTGGTCAATGGCAACATTTGTGATTGCTCTTTTTGTTTATTTGACTATTGGTCTTATTCTTTTTATGCGTACAATAGATTATCATTAAACGAAAGATTTTGTTACATATTTTTCGTCTATAAATAAATTTATGTTATTATTCTTTTTTTGTTTCATATAATACAAATAGAAATGATGAATAAAAAAAAAAAAACATGAATAAAGTATTAAATTAGTTCATGTTAGAATAATGTAGAACATAAGAATATACATTGGATTGAGTGTAAAATTTGCATGTTTCCATGATTTCTCTATTTAAAAAAAAAATAATCATAAAAGAAGCTTATAGCAGATTCATTTATAGAATATATATTACAAGATACTATCTTGTTATTAATTAACAATTTTTCAGTCATTTCATATTAGTTAATAGTAAATTAGTACTAAGTGTTAATTCTACTATATCATTAAGTATTCTTTGAGACTGACATACATTTTTTTTCTTCTTCTAAATCAAACGTAATGAAATGTAAATATGCTTTATTCTTTATTTAATTCAAAATACTATTCAACATGATTTAAATATGGTTTTTTATATCTAATTGATCTAATGTTCATAAATGAATATTTCATGGTAAATTATTTTTTGTTATTCATAGCATGTTTAATGATATATTATTGAATAGTTAATATAATTTAAATTAGGAATACAACAAGTCTTAGATAGTGATTTTAAACATGACTTTTTTTTACGTATTGAAAATTCATTATATTATCAATTTTTTATAACAGCTTTGTTCAATCATCGATTGTTCGATGTGATAGAAGTTATATATAAGTAGTAAATAGATTCATATACAGTAGGGTGCAAAAAAATTGCCGCTTGACATAAAAATTTCGTCGTAGCCTATTTTGTCAGTTTCTCAAGGAACTACTTTAGAACTAGTCACAAAGGTTAGGGAGTAGCTCTGTGCATCTAGTGAGACTGGCACGTTCCTAAAAGTGTTGTTGACTTTCATGGAAATGGCGCATCATTCACGTGCTAATAGTCTATCAGTGGATCGATCAGTCGTCTTACACACTATCGGATTAATGATTAACGCAGTGCTGCTCGAAACTGTCCGTATGACGAAGACCTCTGTCCGTACTATCTAATACAAAATTACGAGGATCCAAGAGCGAAGCACTATTGAGCATCAGGGCTAGCAAAGCAATTTATGAGCCACATCAGCACGAAACCAAATATGTGGCTATCAAATAGTACGGACTTAATGTCAGTTGAATCCTTGCGATCGGTATTCGATCGACTTGTTTAGAGAGAAAGATTCTCAAATCTTGATGAATTGCCGAAATTCTTGAACAAAGAATGGGATAGAATTGCTATGTAAACGCTAAGTTGTTTGACCGCTTGCAAGAAAGCGAGATGTCTCCCTCTTCTTGTTTCGAAGAGAGAGCGAAGCTTTTATTAATTGCTATAGTTGTAGACTATAGTACATGTATAGTTGATCAATTAAAAGAGTTTCAATAGTCATCGCTTCCCGTAAGAGAAATTTTGAAAACTTTAACAGCAAATTTTTTTTGCACCCTACTGTATATAACTATTGAGAACTAATTCGACGATTGAGAATATTTCAAGTTGGTAATTCAATAGAGAAAGGAAATTTTTACCACAAACAACTAGTCCATTATTATGAACCTGTCGCATTTCAAGGCTTATCAAGTATATCATAATTAAGTATATGTTGATGTAGTATCATTTCGATTGATGTATAGACCTTGACGATAATATTGATCAACAGTTATTCTATACAAACAATTGTTTTTTAAATAGATTTTCAACAAAAAAGTACACAGGAATATTGTTAGTATATGTGTATGTGGTATTTTCCACATGATTATAGAATCAGAGTCAACACTTAGCTGAGGATGTCTCTCTTCTTTTATTACAAGAGTAAAGACAGTTAGACTGTGAGTTTCAATAAAAAGATAATAGAACATATGTAGCACATTAAACCTGAAATGAACAATGAAACATAAAAATGAATCTATACGCAACTGTACAATGGGAATTTTTAGTTGTGTCGAGAAAAGCTTAAAATGATCATAGGTGCTTAAAGTTTAAAACTTCTCTGTGCCACATCTGGGGTATTCCATGGTATCTCTATCACATTTATATCGAGTATTTCCAAATTCTATGAAACTTCCAGGATTTGTAGACCATAGTGAGTTATTAAAATCTCCAAGATCAGTTTTCTAAGTTTCGTTAATAAATAGGGACATATCGAGCATGATATTCTATATGATTTTCGGTATAATCATAAGAACGGTGGAGTGTGGAGGTGCGTGACGATGCCGTTGTGAGTTCTTTCACCAGTGACTCACACATACACACACCCTTGTTTTGCTTTATTTTATAATCAGATCTTGGTCAAAATGATTTTACATTTGCTTGAGGTTGTTTTCTATTTCTTGTTACTATTCTTTTTTTCAGTGTATGTTACTGATGATGAGATTAGATGAAAAAATTGATTGATCATGAAATAAAGAATTTAATTTTTTTTAATTAATATTTTATTATTTTATTTATTCTATGGAGAAGAAATAGGATTGATTGAAAGTTAATAATCATCTAATGTTTAGTTCACTTTGAAGGTTGGAAGAAAAAGATATGCCCTTTTGACATAGAACCAGTTGAATACTAAAATTTCATATTGAACGGATTCAGTTTAAAATGATATTGACTCAAGAAATATCACCTATTTTTTTTCTTCAAAATAAAAAAATTTTTGTTTTCATATTTTAGATAGCAACATAAAACTGTAAAACGGTTCGAACTAACTTTTAAAATGGAAATTAAAAAAAAAAGATTCACGAAAAATTAAAGAACGTAAATGTGATTGTAAACAGATAAGAATAATTGATAGTTGTGTAAAACTAATTTATTCTTCTTGCTAATTATATTAACAACGACGATGATGATTTAGTTGTTGAAATAGAAGAATCATCTAATTATTTAAATCGATTAACTAGTCATGATCTTGAAAGGTTATTAAATGATATTAAAGTGCATACAAATTTAGAATAACAACAACAACAGTTTGAATAAAAGATTCGACCTTTTAATACACAATACTGAAACGATATAACAACAATAATAAAATACAAATTAGTTAAATAAAAAAAACGTTATACTCAAGATTACTTCAATTTGATAATAATTATTTCGACCTGCTCATAAATAAACAAAATGAAGATGATTGAATCTAAGCGAATCCTGAAGACTTTTATATTATTTAATTTGTTTTTTTTTTTGTTCTTGATAAAATAATATCGAATACAACTCAAAAATAAAAGATGATTATTCAATCATCCAACACCATCATATGAATGTTAGATTTATTTAGATTTGTGTCAATGACATACCTATAATACGGATCATTATTAACTGTAAATCATTTACTATATAGGAAAAACGAGACGGAAAATTAACAGAAATATCTTAGAAATAATATTTTATTTCTGTGTTCTCAGAATGTTAGAAAATATGACAAACAGATGATAAATGTTAAATACAAGAAAAAAGAACACTTGTTTGGATCGTAACACCTGATTTGAAAATACTTAAATACTTTTTCCATCATAAGACACTGTAAAACTAATACAGAGAAAAATATAAGAGTCAAGTCATTGATGCAAAGTTAAGCGTTTCTATAATGTTTCAAATAGAGTTATTTGTATTTTTTTTAACATATTTCTCATTACATATGTATATCATCTTGACAATAAATTCTATTTTGTTTTTCTTCTCTCTTTAATTTATTAAGAAGTTTGATGATTGTAAATAAATCGTAGAGTTATTCATTAATTAGAAAACACATTGAATAGATAATAAGAAGTATCACAAGTACAGAGTTAGTATGCTTTATAAATCCGTTGATAATTATTAAAATTATGTCTATTCGTTTACTTGAAGATATAAATTCTCAATTTAATTATAGCAACTATTCTAAATCTAGAAAAAAAAAAATTTAACTAACAATAATCAGAATCATTAATAATTTTAAATGAAATGAATATTATATAAATTCAAATAGCTAAAGGTTTATAACAGTTCACTGAGTACTAGCATGACAAAAAAAAAAACAATTCTAGTTACAAGGGAAAGTAGCATTGATATGATGTGCTTGCAAAATTGAGTTAGTAGACAAAAAAAGTAATTATATCGATAGAATAAAAGAGTCGTATTAAGCAATTCTTTCATAATTCATATTATATGAGGTCAATAAAATCAGCTGAAAGTTGTACGAAAAAAAGAAAGAATAAGTGCAGACCAATATGTCATAGTTATCATTAAATATATTTAATAACAAGTATGAGAAAAACAAAAATGAAATGACACACTTGATGTGCACTAATGTAATAAATTTGTCAATCGTAATGGTCTTTTTTTCCTGTCATACACCCTCAGTTTAGTGTTTTGACAAGCAGATAAATCATAACTAATGAAATAAGACGATGATACAAATTTCATAAATGATTCCATTGATATCAAATGAAAATAATTTCTCTTACAAGCTGAGGCTTCTATATGATCACTGATCTATTTTTTTTTTCCATTGCTTTTATATCAATAACTGATGAATTCAGCAACATTTTAAACTTCATACCTCTTAATTAGTAAATACAAAAAAAAATGAAACAAATTTTTTGTTAGTACTAACATACAAACATATAGACAATGAAATTAATGTCAATGTACGACTTTATTTCTTCTAATGTTTTATGAATAAGTGTATAAATAAGAAAAAAAAGAAAAAAAGAAATTTCTAAAATTCTACTCAATAATAAAAAGCTAGATTAAAATCACAGAGTGTGTGTCTATTCATCTTGTAGTTTTTTGAATAAATTATTTATTCGACTGTAACAAGGAATGTTCGAATTTGCATTGGATTAAGTAATATATTTAAATCATTTAATGATGTTTCTTCTAAAAAAAATAGAAAAATTTATTTAAAATAAAATTAATATTATAAATACATACTTAAATTATTTATTTTTGATAATTTTTCATTATTAATTGACCAATTAAGTCTTTTCATATTATTTAATGGTAAATTACCAGCAAGTGTTAATTCAATTATATCATTAATTATTCCTTGTTTTTGAAATATTTTTTGTAAATCAAATATAACTGAATTTGAATATATATTATCTTCATTTAATTCAAAATAATGTTCAATACGAATTAAATATTTTTTTATATCTAATTGATCAAATGTTAATAAATGAATATTTAATGGTAAATCATTTTTTAATGCTGTCCATGTTTGATGATATATTGTTGAATAATTAACATAGGATAATGATGGTAATGCATAAGTCGCTAATGGATGCATATATAAATGTTGAGAACCAATTCGATGATAAAAAGCACTTGAAGTAGGTGATTCAATAATAAGAAAATGTTTACCACGAACAACAAGACCATTATCAAATGCTGTTTCATTTAAAGGTTCACCAACACCAAGAGCATCATCATGAAGTGTACGTCTATGTAACATTATTTCAATAGATCCATCATGAATACTACTACCACCTTCAGATCGATCTAAATAAAGAAAAAAAAAAAAACCTTGATAATGTGTTAATATATTTGATTATTTGTTTACCAGTAAGAATAGTAAATTGACGATTTGATTCTTTAATCCATATTCGACTATTTATTGGATAATAATTTCCACTTATAGCTTCAATTTTTGAATAGTTCCATGTTGGTCGATAATCTCGTATACGTTCAAGAATTTCACGTCCATTTGAATCCGTATAAAATTTTGATTGACTATTTATATCTGTATCATAACGAAGAATTATTTCTTTACCAATATTATCATCTATTGGAATAGGTCCTACAGTCCATTGAATTTCAAGTATTTTTGCATCATTATATAAATTTATTTCTTGACTTGTCCAATCATTAAAAATAATAATTGCTGTTTGAACATTTGTTGCTTTTATACATGTTCTAAAATTCAAAGAAAGAAAAAAAACAAAACACACGTTTTTTTTTTTTGTAATAGATAAATATACTTACATTGAACGTTTATTGCTTACTGGTTGAGAATCTGTTGAATTTGGACGAAATATATATGCACCAGATGATTGAAATTCTGATCCAGAATTATTACCCGAAAAACCTAAATTATAAATATAAATAAACAATTTAAATATAAATATTTACTTACTTGTATACCAATAAAAACCTTGACTAGTAAATGGTATAATAATATTCTTTTTTATATTTATAATCTTATTTAAATTTCCTTGACAATCAAATTCAACTCGAAGATACTATAAATTAATTTATAAAACATAAAAATAAAAACAAAAATTTTCTTTTATCTTTTACTTCATTTTGAAGAATACATTTATCATCTTTTGTTATACTTATATCTTGTTTATTATCTAGAAGAATATTATTTTTAATTTCAAAATAATATGTATTAAAGCCAAGTGCTGGTAAAATAACTTTAAATACAAGTTCATTCATAGCAAAACTTTTTCGACCAGGAATTTTCTTTGTTGGTTCTGATATTGGAATAAACTAAAACAAAATAAAATAACTTCAACAAATTATCTTATATTATTATATTTACATCAGCTAAAATTGCATATCCTGTTGAATCACGTATTGTATAATTTTTAGTTACAGGAACACGAACATAATGTGAAATTGTATGTACAGTTGGATTCCAAAGTGTTAAAGTAAACTATAATTAAAATAAATTATAAGAATAGAGGAAATTTTTTTTTTATACAAACATGATCTTGTCCTTCAATAGGTAAACATTCACTAATATTTGTTAATTGACAAAGAAATTGAGGTGCATTTGATAGTGTTTGATTATCTTTAGGTAAAAGTTTATCATAAGCTTTATTGATAACATCCTAGAATAATAAATAATTAAAGAAACTTTTCTATTTCTATTGCTTTTTCTTTTTTGATAATAAAAATATTTTCGTCTTCAACACTTACCACTGCAGCATCAATACCTTCAGATAATCGCATAGCATAATCAAAAGCAACTTCTTGTTTTTCTGTTCCACTAACTGCATCATGATGTTGTACAATACCCAATGCTTCATCTATTATTCATAACATATTCAAAAAAAAAGATTTTTTTTTAATAGATAAATATCTTACTCAAAGGAAAAATATTATTTCGTAAATTTGTATTAGCAAATGCATTTAATTGTCGAGTTACTTGTAAAATATTATTTGAATGACGTTCATAACGTTTAAGAGCTGCTCGTGATGTAAAATAACCAGTCCAAAATCCATGTTGATGATGAGCATATGGAAAAAAATCATCAGTTTTTGTTGTCCACGTACGATCAATTTTATTTAATGCATATAAATAACATGATGGTGTTGAATAGAAAACATTTACATTACTTCCATTTGCTTGCTACAATTTATTTTGTTTTTTAGTATTATTTTAAAAATAAAAAGAAGTTCTTATACTTCAGCATTCACATATTTTATTAATTTATCTAAATTTTTATACCATTGATTTGCATTTTCATATTGAAAATCACTACCCATTGTCATAATAATATGATTTGTAGCAAATGCAAGTGCCTAGAGAAAAAAAAAAACAAACAAATTTTACACTTGATTCAACTTGAAATATACAAACTTCATCATGTGCAACTTTAATAAATTTTTGAACACGTTCATGTACATTATAATCCTGTAATCGAGGATCATCCTATAAATTCATATTTATTAGATTAAAATTTATCTTTCATTATAAGAAAAAAGATTAGCAAAAAAAACAAAGAAAATAAACAAGCATCACACTATAATAGATGTAGCATTGTAGAAAAGATCCAAGAAAAAGCTAATTGATGATGTGTAGATGTTAAATAAAAAATAAGTGTAAAGTCGTACACATTATCTGTAAGAAGAAAAATAAAAATAAAAAACATGCATATACCAATAGAAAAACCATTTACAAGCAAAAGAAATATAAATATATATCAAATCAATCAACTAACCATAATAGGTGGATCATCACAAAAGATATCAAAACAGAACGATTCTGGAGGACCGTATCCATTTGGTAAAATACCCGTAAATAACCAACTTTGATTACCTACAATTTTTAAATTATTAATTCAATATAAATCACTAATATCAATTTTACATATGTTTTAACATACCTAAATTTGTACTAGCTTGCCAAATCATTTCCATAGTTTTTAATTTTTGACGTTGTTCAATATCTTGATAATCAGCACGACCAAAAAATAAACCATCAAAACCCATCTATCCAATAGTTAATAAGAATATATTAATTAATTCTAAAAGTAAGAAAATTAAAAAAAAAAAAATTCTTACCTGTGATAAAATTGAAGCATGTTCACGTGAATGACCAAATGGATCAATTTGCCAACCAATTTTTGGTCGACCACATTCACCAAATTCATTATATAAAAATTCAGCACCTAAACTATGTTGATCAATAATTGAATTATAATGTGTTGATGCTTCATCATTCATACACCAACCACCAGAAATAAATTCCAAACGACCTAAATTATATTATTATTATTATTATTCTTTACTTAAAATTCAATATATTATAGTGTACCTTCGTTAACAAAATTTTTTACTTTAGTACGTGTTTCATTTGATTGTTGATTCCACCAACGCCAAAAAAAAGCTATTTCAACATAAATAAAACGTCGATCAGGATTTTCTTCAAGTGAATGTATAACAGAATCGAGAATATATTGTACACCAGCATGTTGAATATTATTACGAGCTGTTTAAATAAAAGTCTTACTTAAAAGTAAACAATAAAATAGAGATAGAACAAATACCTCCATAATAGTATTGATCAACTGTTTTTAACCATCCAACATCATCATGTGTATGTGGAACAATATGAACATTGAGCTTAGTTGGATCACCTAAATTACATGCCTATAGATAGTAAAGATCATGTTTAATTTATTGATATATAATATTCTTAAAATTTATCTTACATTATAACCACACCCATTAGATGACTTAATTGGTACCACAATACAAAGAAAAATAATAAGAAATAGAAATGTACAATAGATCGAAATGTACATTGTTCAAAAAAGAAAAGCCACAACTATCATAAATATAATTGAATATTTATAAAAATTTACAATTGAATAAATTTACCGTTAGTGGATATTATAGAATATAAAAACTACCGGAATTGAATGTATCACAGTTTGATATAAAATAAATCTACAAGTTAATAATAATAAACATGAAGTTTTGTCACATAAAATAAATACATTTTCAGAATTTTAATTAAAATAGATAAAAAAAAAAAAACGATGAATACACAAAAACAAATGAGATAGAAAAAAGACAAAAAACCAATAGATCGGAAGTTTGTTACAATGAGTTGTTTTTTGAACTAATCTTCTATTAAAATAAACATTTAATAGCAAATTCTTTTCGATATGATGAAAAAAAAAGAAAATGCATGAAAGATAAAAAAAATTTTTTGTTCGAATGTAACTCTATAGTTTGATTTCAATTTAATTATCAGTTTCATTTTATCAATTGTAACAAAAAAAATACATTTCATCATATTTTTTCAACAAATAAGAGTTCACATACAAAAAAAAAGTATGTAAAAAACAAAATCATATCCATATTCATATTACTCATAAATCATTTTCACCTATTTGTCGTTTTATTTTTTCTACCATTTGTTTATCTAATGTTTTTTGTCTTGATTGAACACTTACTATTGAAAGTAAACAAATAAAAAGTATAATACCTTCAAATATCCAAAAATTTTCTTTTTGAATATGTATTGGTATTAAACATGAACGTAATGTTTTTATATTTGATTTAGAACAAATTACAAGTTCTCTATAACCAGTTGGTAAACAACCAATTGCTTTTGAACGACGTTCAAATGATGTACATTTTTGACAATATGTTATTATATCAATTGGTTCAGTTTGATAACATGTACTTATTGATTGTTCTTTGTCTATGGAAATATTTGATGAAGAAATAGAATAATATGATGTTACAACACGATCAAGTACGGATAATTTTAAATTAGCAATAAATAAAACACTTATTGTTACAAATAAAAGAGCAATAAGACCAAAAATAAGACGACGACGTGTTATGAAATCAAACATGAGAAAAATTTTTATCTAGAAATAGACAAAAAAAGAAAAAAACAAGACTATCTCTTCTAAAACTGAGTTTGATTCAATTATACTAATTTCAAGTTCAAATACAAATTAATCCTTTCGCGTCGGGTGTCCCATATATGAGACGGCGAGGTTTTTCATTATATACCCGACTTCAAGTACAATTTGATACGAGTATTTGAGAAGTTCTATCTATTACAAGGATAGAAAGACCAATGGGGATGATAGTTTTACAGTAAATATACATTTCTAATGCTTCGTTTCGTCTGTCTTAAAAAATTGAAAGAAGTAGTTTGTTAAATCTGTAGGACTTGTACTTTGCGCGTTTTGTCTACTGTTCTGTCATCCGTCAATATCATAGTATAGCATTCTCACACATGCGTATTCTATTCACATTTTCTTTTGTTTTGTTTACATGCCTGATATTGCATTTACGAGTGCAATGTTCGTTTATGCGTAGTACCATGTTTTGAAACCTATCATATATTGAAACACTTCTAATAAAAATTATATGATAAAAGGTGAAGATCATTGACTTACAGAATTTCCAGCGATTCAGAAAGCTACTTTTCCTTCCAGACGCTCGAGCTTTTTACACATTATGATAAAACTAATTGTCTATTGGATACGAACACATTTCTTACTGAAAAAACTCCGGCGCGAAAGGGTTAATAGAAGAATACATAACAAGATACAAATATAAAACTTTTTTTTTCGACATAGAAGTGATTTTCTAAAGTGTACTTTGTGATTGCACTAATTAGTCACACAATGGTTTTTTTAAATTCATTCATTTGATCATAACGATGATCAATATTTAAAGGCGTACATTATTGTTCGCATTCGTAAATTTCTTATCCAATCAAATTCTAATTAGTGAATCTATCTTGAATTTAAATTCAAATTCGAATTATAAAAGTTTAATAATAATAATAATAAACATAAATCAATCTTTTAAAAACTTCAAAAAAAAAATTTCATAAAAAAAAAATATGTAATCAACCAATCATGACAAAGAACTTGAACTTCATTCATTTCTCTTCATTCATTCAATTTGTTTGTTTGTTCTTCTTTTATTTCATTATTCCAAAATATTTGTGACGTAAATTTACAAAACATATACGTATATTTCTTATCTATTTAATTAAATATGGATTTAACAATACAAAATGGTAATAATAACAATGGACTTCCATTAACAGGTGATGTTATTCTTAGTCCTAATGGTCAAGAACATATTTCAGATTCACTTTTGGATACATCAGAAATGGGTGATGAAGCTGATCTTGAATCAATGCGTAAACGTATAAGAGAAATGGAAGAAGAAGCTGAAAAATTAAAACAAATGCAACTTGAAGTAGAAAAACAAATGCAATTGCCTAGTACCCCGGGTACACGTAAGATTTTATTTATTCTATTCAAATAATTATTTATATTTGTTTTTTTGATTCATTAATTTAGCTACATTTCCAACAATTGAAGAAAAAATGGACGCTGATCAACGATCAGTTTATGTTGGAAATGTATGTATGAAAAACAAAGAAGTTTAAGATAGAAAATTTTTTTTGTATATTAATGTTTTTTCTTTAGGTTGATTATTCAGCAACAGCACAAGAACTTGAAAATCATTTTCATGGTTGTGGTTCTATTCATAGAGTTACTATTTTATGTGATAAATTTACTGGACAACCAAAAGGGTATGAATAAAAACGAAAATTGATTTCTTTTTAATTTTAAATTAAGTATAAATGCAATATCGTACTTTAGAGTATCGAATGTTTGCTTTTTCTTTCTTGAAAATATGTCTTTATGATAGATTTGTAATAGTCCATTAGATACGTTAAACGTTAGGATGCATGAAAGTGTGACTTAGCTCATTGTCGAGCCCTTATTCGAGTTAGAATATTAATGTCCTAGCGTCAGATTCAATAGCACGATTTTATGCAAATTGTTTTTGCCATTTTCATGCAGTAGCTAACCACAAGAGCAGACATATATTACAAAATAGTCAGTATACAATCAAACATGTGATCTGAGGCAAATATTCTCTAGTTACATGTCTAGCATCGCTTCATAGCTGATGCTACTCAGTTATGATAGCTCTATGTTTTTAATGAAATTTTTGGTGCATTCTAGTCAGCATTAGGTGCAGAAATTCAAGTAAATTGATTCCAACGGCAGAAGGACATCTCTCGGGTATCAGTCATTGTACGATTTTTCTAGTCACTATAGGATCTAGCTAACGAAAGAAGTCTTACTAGAAAACTAGTTTATCACATAGTTAAGTTGTTCATACTAAGCATATTCGTTTCTTACAATGGAAGTATGTGTGTTGATAAGTGAAAAGATGATACATATTCGGGTCGAACGAAAGCTCTCACCACCAAAATAACAAGGATAAGATATTAGCGACCCTTGGCTTGCCTAGAGGGAGATATTTAAATTTCAAGGCATGTGAAATTTAGTCATAAAAAATGAATCAAAGAAGGTTTTTTCCACGATTATAAGGACAAAACATAGTGTTGTTTGGGCCGATTATGGGGTTTTTAGGGATTCTCTTTCATATGGCTCGAACAACGCCATGTTTTGTCCTTATAATAGTAGAGTGAATTTTTCCTGTAGTTCATAGAACCGACGTTTTCTATCAGCCGCTGGAAAATTTAACTCTACTATTATAAGGACGGAACATAAGGTTATTCGGGCTAATCTTAGGATTGTCAAAGATGCTCTTTCATATGGCCCGAATAACCTTATGTTCTGTCCTTATAGTAGTAGAGTTAAATTTTTCAGTGGCTGATAGAAACCGCCTGTTCTATGAGTTACTGGAAAAATTCACTCTACTATTATAAGGACAAAACATGGTATTGTTCGGACCATATGAAAGAGGATCCCTAGAAGCTCCATAATCGTGGAAAAATCCTTCTCTGATTCATTTTTATGCCTAAATTTCACATACCTTGAAATTTAAATATCTTCCTCTAGGCAAGCCAAGGGTCGCTAATATTTAACCAGAATGTGTCATATTTTCACTTATCAACACATTGTTAGTGATATTGCAAAGATAACTATTCAGTCTAGAAAGTATTTTTCTTCTAGCAGAACACTTGATTGACATTTTCTATTCTTTATTTTAGTTTTGCTTATGTTGAATTTGCCGATAAAGACTCTGTACAGACTGCTCTTGCTCTTGATGATTCATTATTCAAAGGACGTCAGATGAAAGTAAATATATATGTTTATGATAAAATTTAATTTCTATCAATAAAACAATATTTAGGTAATTGAAAAACGAACTAATCGTCCTGGTGTATCAACAACAGATCGACCTCCTCGTGGTACACTACGTGGTTTTGGACGTGGTCGATTTCCGCGTGGTGTTGCTTTTATGCCATATGTATCAGCACCTTATCGAGGTCGTATTGCTCGACCATTTTTTCGGTAAAAAACTTTCTTATATAAAATTATTATAGATGATCTTGCTTTTTGTTTAATCTATTAGTGGTCGTGGTCGATCAAGTTACTTTTATTCACCATATTAATATATATGATAAAATTCAATCGAACCGGTTTTATTCCATCATTATTCTTCTTTTATTTTCACGCGCACGAAATAGGCTCTCAAAGAAAAAAAAATAACCTGTCTTTGGACAACAATATATGCACATACCTGTTTCGTTCGGTGAGAATATTATAATGTTCTTTGTCTTTGTTTTTCTTTCTCTATCACTTGTAGTTGTTTTTTTTTCTGTACTTATAAATCTATATATCTACTTATTCTCATCGTCGTGGCAAAGAAAATTGTTGTGTAAAAAAAAAAAAGAAAAGCCACTAAAATTTCTGTTTATCATAAACGATAAAAACACAAGGTCTAATCATATGGGTTGTATTCTGTCTAGTTTTTTTTTTTAATGATCATTTGAGAATTATCAAAGACTAATCGATTTTTCTTTTTATTTAAAAAAAAAAAGATATATAGGACAGTGTCGGCGGATTTATGTGTTGGCTACATCTTGATCTACTACATTCGGCTTTTCATATTTATCTAAAAAAAAAAAAGAAAGGAAAAAAATTTAAAGAAAAAAAAGAAAAAAAAAATATAAAACTAAAAAAAAAAGAAAAATATTTAAAAAAAAAAAGAGTAATAATAAAATCAATCGAATGATCTTCACTTCCAAGAACAATCAAAATCGATCTTAATAAGAAAGTAATGTATGGTCTTATTTTTGTAATTTGTATAATATCGATATTTTTTATTTTTCGAAATTTGTAATTTTTTTTTGTTTTTTTTTATATGTAGCTTATTGTTTTATGAGTAAATTCTAACATAAATTTTATACTGATCAAACAATTCAAATAGAAATCTATATAACAATAGCTTCAATAATTTAAAAATATTGTTCTAGGAATTTGTATTTTATTAGACTATTTGAAATTTCGTGTTAGAATTCAATTTTAATTGCAAATTATTTGAAATAATTTCATCGTAAGAAAATGGAATAAATCGTCTTGTATTCGATGTGAGACAAGGTTATGTAGCATAGTGGTTTGCAAATCATTGATATTATACTCGGAAAGAGTGAATGTAAGAAATGATAATCGAAAGAAAAATTTATGAACATAAATAATTAAAAGAAGTTTAGCAATCTTCATCTCTCTTTTGGTGATGAAGTATACAATCCTTTTGTTCAATATCTAAATGATTCAGTTTAGTTCTGATTTATCGACAAAACTTTGTTTTGGTTTGTCTCTTTTGGTTAACATATTTTCAGTTTCGTTTTGTTGACTAACTAAAGAAATTTTTTGATTGATCAATATCATTTTCTTTTTTCTTGATTTATTAGCAATTTTCCTTTGTCAAGGTATATTTTAATACAAAATATCGAAAAACCCTGTTTGTTTTTTAGAATAGTCGCTAGATATATGACTAACAACAATATTATTATCTATCTGTCAATAATGATATTGCATAAAGAAATGACAAGGGTGTTAGTCTTGTCTCAAAGTCCATCGAGATTCATATGTATGATTTCGCCTATACTTTTTTTCGATTTTGATCGTCACCTTTAAAACAGAAGTAGTGACTCATTTAACGGCACTTCATTACTTCCTTTTTAAAAAAAAAAGTATAATGATGATATACTTGATTAGTTGCGTCTTAATTTGCCAATACAACATTTACTTATTAGATTGCAATATATCGAAAGGAAAAAGCAAAAGTTGTGAGCAATATGGGGAGAAAAGAACGTAGTGACAACAAGATATTTTTATAATATTCATCGAATGAGGAAAAAAATCTATTTTTATTATCGGTTCATAAATTGACTTAGGTACATATTTGAGTAATCTATTTTTTTTTCTGATTATCAAAAGAAAATGTTAATTTTACTAGACTACGTCTAATTTTAATAGGGCATACTAAATAAGATGAAACTTATTTGACGATCGATTTATCATATGGTAAAATCCTTTCGTTTGAAACATTGTTTTGTATGTTATAATTTATTATTATAAAATATCTTTATTATCAGATTTTCAAATGTTTGACTTGTTGAGTTTTTTTTTTTTTTCGTAAATATAATTATTTAATCTATTGAATAATTTATTTGAAATTTCTATTTAATCCAATATTTTCTATGATTATCTTCTTCATAATTTAATATTCTTCAAATAATTTACTGATAATATTTATCTTTCATTTACACTATATCCTTTAATTATTAAATAAACTCGATATTTTTCGATATATCACAGAATGACATTCGTTATATTTTTATCAAATTATGAATCTTATACAATATAACTAATGTATTATAGTCTACGTAAAATATTTGAAAAAATTACGTCTAATTATGAATAAATAAAGAAGGTTATATGATTCATCTAACAAAAGAAAAATATTATATTCATATGAAATGAGCATCGATTTTCTTTGTAAATGAAAAAAGTGATCAATATATGTTAGTCCAATTTATTACACCAACAAATAAGAATATTATGAAAAATAGTACATCAGATAACGAAAAAAAAAAAAATAACCGTTGTGCTTCATTAGTTTTTTTTTTTTGTTGTTTTTGGTCAAATTTTCTTATGATGTAGAATATTCGTTGCTCTTGAATATACGTCATACTACCTACGCTCTCTTCTCTTATTTAAAATTACAGGTAAACAGTACAGAAAACAGCTATATCGTGTTTATTTTCAACGAAATATATCTATATTATTATAAATTGTTCTACGTTATTGTTTATCTTCTTATCTAATTAACAATAAAATGAATAAATTTGAAATTCTTTCTCATGATAATCTTCGACTTTCTGGTTATGATTGGCCATCTAATCAAGATCCAGATTCACCAATTGCTGTATTAATACTTGTACATGGTATTGCAGAACATTGTAAACGATATGAATATTTTGCAAAATTTTTTAATGATAATGATATAGCAGTAGTTTCAATGGATTTACGTGGTCATGGTTTAAGTGAAGGAAAACATACTTATATACCAACAGCTGAAGCTATATATCAAGATGTTGATTCATTAATAAAAAAAGCAAAATGTCGATATCGAAATTGTCCAGCTATACTTTATGGACATTCAATGGGTGGAAGTATAGTATTATCTTATACACTTAATCGTTATTCAAATCCATCAGATAAATGTCCATATCAAGCTTTAATTGTATCAAGTCCTTGGATTCGTTTAGCACGATTTCTTCAACCACCTCGTCCTATTCATTCATTAATTCGAAAATTTAGTCGAATACGTCCATCATTAAAAGTTCCACTTCGATTTAATCCAGCTAAAATAACACGTGATGAACATATTGTTTATACTTATAATGATGATCCTGATATACGTCGATCAGCAACATTATCACTTGCTTATACAATGGGTAATATAGCAAGAAAACTTGATCGATCAAATAGTACATTTTATATACCTGTTTTAATTCAACATGGATCGGCTGATGCAATAACAAGTCATAAAGCAAGTTCAAAATTTGCTAATCGAGGAAAAAATATTCAATTTCAAAGTTGGCCTAATTGTTTTCATGAATTACATAATGAACCTGAAAGAGAAGAAATCTTACATTTTATATTAGATTGGATTCATGAAAAAGCTATTGATTAGATTTTTTTTTTTCAATATTCAAAGAAAACATTAATATTTAGAGACTACTTTTTTTATAATACGTACTGGTGACGTTTTATTCAAGAGAAGAACAACTTATTATGTTATATTATATCTTCTCTTTATTTATACATAAAACAGCTTGCTGAATTTGTATTAAATTTTGAAAAAAAAGTTTATATTTATTTTTGTTAATATTATTCATTCGTTATTGTCTAGGTATTTTGCTTTTATATTCGATTATTTATCTATATGAGTATGTTGTTTTTTTTCTTTAGTTACAAACAGTATACAGTGTGGATTAATGGAATCTTTCTCCTAGTTTTTCTTTTTTTTACTCTATTTTGTTTATTTCTTAATGGATTAATGTAAAACAAGACAACTATAAAATGTACCATATCGAATGGTATATGCATGTTGGATAATAAATAAAATTTTATTAGAAAAAAAAAAGTTATTATTATTTTTTTAAATCTAAAATTTATATCTATACTGAACGAAAAAAAAATATATAGTTCTATTATAAAAAAAAAATAGTCAATCATGTTATGCATAAACTCAACACAACCATATATACGACATATATTTATTATTAATTCCGCTTCTTGATAATGGATAAAACATTTGTGATTGTTGTACTGAAAAAAAAAGCCTGTCTCCTATTAATCAACATACACATTGATCTGAAAATAAATATATGTGAAAGAATAATGTAATGAATTTATTGTTTGATTTTTTTTAAACATAATACATACAAGAGATTATCAAGAGCAGGCCGATGGTGATATATAAAAAAAAAAAAAAGAAAAGTTCAAAAAAATTAATATAGAATAGAAAACTGATGTTATCTTTTGTAAATGATTTCATGTGAAAACAAAATATTAAATCATGTGAAATGGACTATTTTCTAATTTCTTAGTTAATCAACAATTTTTATCTTGTTCTATTTAGTTGATTATCTCGGTTGATAGAGCAATACTTTTAAACTAAGTGTTACATTATTAGAATACTAGTAGAAATATTGTATATCACAACACAAATAAAATCTATAGAGTAAAAGTTTTGACACAAAATATTCGTTCACTTTTTGTCTATTAAAAATAAATCAATGGATTGAAGCCAGAATGCGAATATATGTTCAGATTTGCTTTGTAAAGTAAAATTGAATGACTATCAATTAGTTTTATAGAAAAAGTTCAACACTGTATTTGTACAAAAATAAAATAGAGATTTTAATGTAGTTTTTAATTTATTTCTTGAAATAACTTCGACTTAATATTATTGTAGAGAACTAAATTTTGTATCAAATAAAAGATTACAATAACCAAAATCTCATCTATATGTTTTCACTAAAGATCTTATTTCTAAGAGAATTGACATTGATTAGAAAATGAATAGGTTTCAATTGAAATAACATTTTGTACAATCACAAATTTTTATATTTTCTAAATCTTAATTGTTTTCTGTAATTAATATACGATCAAATGATGAGTATCGAATATTCTTTTTCATATATATAATATATTAAGAAATCAAAAGAAAGAAATTCATGCAGTTTTATTTTTTTTCTATAAAGAAAAATACCGTAGGACAACTATTGTTGAGAACTTTTTAAAAATGTATTTGATTTATACAATAAAAAAAAAACAATTATAATTCTGATCCAACATACAAAAACAAAAAAGAAATTTTTTCCCTATGTATATTTCATTTATATCTAATAACAAAACGATTTCTATATGTATAATAAATAACTATACTGATTTTATTTTATTGAAGATAATAACTGATGATAATTGTAGTTTATAAACATTCGAGGTTATTAACCATAAAAGTATAACACATTATAATGATTACTTCTGTATATTAATGAAGCCAAACAAAGAACTCGATATTTATATATAACTATGTATCTGAAACAAAAGAGAAAAGAATAAAAGAAAATAAATAAAGTACTTCTACTTTATATGGAGAAAATAACATATAGAAGAAAAAAAGATAGATAAATATATATATATAAATATCTTTTCTCTTCAAGAAATAAAACAAACAATGAACAAAACAAATCTCTTAACAATATACATATTGATTATAAACATGCCAATAAAAATATAATATAAATAGAGTGAAACATCTCGAGATGAACTTATATCAATACCATAACAAATATACTGATTATCTTACAAAACAACCATTCTATAGACAAAAGAAAAAAAAATAATGATAGACAACTACTAGTTACTCAATAAGATATAAGACAAAGAAAGAACAATAGAAGATAAATCTAACAGAACGACTGATATATATGTCTTCTCCTAAGTTGATTTGTCGACAAGAAAGAATCATTTGACGTTATAAAAACACTTGGTAATTGCTTATACACATTTATTTTCATCATTGTTAACGTTATCATTTGTCGATTGAGTTGATTATAGTTTGTTTTATTGATCGAAATTTATTTCTTTAAATATAAAACAAAGAAAGAAAAAAAAGAAAAAATTTTAGTTTTATCAAATCAAAAAAAGAAAAGTAAGTTAATCTCTTTCAATAATAACAATCACAGCAAGATAAATTTCTATACCTAGATTTATAAATAAGAATGTTTATTTATTATTCTCATTAATATCTTACATCTAATTGCGACCTTGTTCTTCGTCACTCATCATTTATAGAGAAAATAGTACTTGATATAAATGTTGTTGTTGTTTTTTTTTTTTTTTTTGTATGCCTAACAAATATCAACAATCTTTCATCTCTTACCATTGACATTGGCCATCTTTGATTATTTAATGACAAAACATCTTATTTTTGCATTTTGTTTTGCCTTACTAATTTTTCCAATATTAGCAAAGAAAAAAAGAAAAACCGATAATGGACCTGGAAAGATCTTATTAAAAAGCTAGATGTATACAAAAGAAAGACGAATAAAAAAACAAAACAAAACACACAAGAGAGGTGGTTACATTAAGGATCTATACACTAGTAATAAGAGGCAAAGAGAAAAGAACGATTAAAGATTGTCTTCATTGGTCGATGACATATGGTTATTTGGAGAGAAACAGAGAAAACTGATGGGTATCATCATCATTGGATGTACTTTCTATTATTTATTTTGAAAGACAAAAAAAGAAGAAAATCGAAATTATTATATGATTTTTTTTCTTAAATTTTAGTATAAATATGACAACAACACCAAATGAATTTTTACGATTTGCAAAAGAAATGGGTCTTGGTCAAATAAAATCAACTTCATTAACACCATTATCATTGTCAAATACTAATAATAATGGTTGTACACTAACTGGCTTATCTGTACTTAATAATCTATGTCATCTTATTGAAGATATACATAAATTAAGAAGTGAAAATGAACGTTTACGTGCTCATTTAGAAATAATTAATCAAACTGAAAATTTTCTATTAAAAACAGACGAAAATATACAATTAATAAATTCAAAACAAAGAAAAAAAATAATACGTTCAACAGTATCAATTCATGATGATGAAGATAATTTATATGAAGAAAAAAGTTCAAGAATATCACCTTCAAATTCATTAAAAATTAAACAAAATAATGGTTTATCGAATCTATCCTTAACAAGTAAAGAACGACAAGGTATATAGTAAATTGTAAAAGAAGATCATATTTTTTTTCTTAAACTTTCGAAAAAAAATTTATTATTATTTTTCTTAAATTTCTACGACATATTATATCATGTATATCGAAACAATATTTTCTTTAGTTCAATTAAAAAAATCTTTATCTAATTATCTATTTTTTGATATATATATATATATACTTAATCTCCTTTTCTTTTGATTTAATGTAATAAATCATTCGTATGTTAGTTTGCAAAGATTATTATTCATGTAAAAAAAAAAAAAAAAACAAAAAATATATTCTAATGATTGACAGTAACAGAAACTTAGTAGTTAATCAAAACTATCAACTACAATGATAACTAATATAAAAGCATATGTTATTTTCATTAAAAAAAAAAAAAAAAGAAAATTTCTTTTTTTGTTTTTTGTTAAAGGTGTAGATTTTGTAAATAATCATGAAGATTTATCATCAATGTCAGGTATCGATCATGATCAATCGAAAATAATCGATAATAATTTAGGTATTAATAATAGAATAATATTTTTTTTTTATTACATATATCTATATATTATGTTTTTATTAGATGTACCTAATTCAACAAATTGGAATAGTCGAGTACGACAAGCATTAAAATTTTCACTTCGACGAAAACCAAATTTACGAACAAATTCTTTATTAACACATACGGAACGAACAATTCCAGTTATTAATATTTCAAATGAAAATGATGATAATAATAATCATGTACAAGATAATATACATGAAAAGAAAAAGAAAAAATTTTTAATAAGTACTAATAGTCAACGAGTTCTAACGGGTGAAGATAGTGATCAAGATGATGAATATATTGAATTTAATAGAGTAAATCATAAACGTGAACTTTATAGAAGTAATGCAGTTAATTTATCAATTAATGAACAACACGATATATCAACATCAAATTTAATTCATCATCCATCGTCACTTGATGATGATAGTTCATTAAGTCGAAAACCATCTAAAATTGGTATTATAGATTATAATATTTCTTATTGTAGTAACTTGTTAGATTTGTTTTTTTTTATTCAATTGTAGGATATTTTAGTAAAGTGTTCATTTCAGTTATAGAATCTATAGAAATCTCATTAATCCTATTAAAAAAAAAAAGAAGAAAACCCTAGACTAATGGGCAAGATTGCTGTAGATATATTATTTTGTCCAGGGATTTCTCAACCATCTAGGATGAAAATGACGACTGCTGTAAAGAATGATATTTGATGTCTTTATTATCATATCCATATGTGACACTTGTCAGTGAGGAAAAAAACTTGACTGTTTCATTTGTAAATATAAAAATCTAACGAGGAAAGGTCCCCAACTGTCCCCTCGCTTTTGAATCGGGTACATGCCCAAACGATAGACCTCAGTGAGTTATTAAATACCCTACAAGGGTTTGGTTGTCTAGGCCTCCTGAGCAGAGATATACAATTATTACTGTTACTAGTTTTGCTGTACTACTGTACTAATATATATGATATCTTGACTAAAAATACTCTGATCTGGTTCAAATTTATATCAGTAGTATGGTACTCAGTACTGATTAAGATCCTAGAGTTTGAAGATAAATCGATGCTTCTTATTGAAGATACGAATTTGTTTGATATACCAATTGATTATTAAAAAACAATATATGGTCTTCCTCAAAGATACAAGTATTGATTCATCTGATATTTTCAGCACACATTCATTTTATAGTTAGCATGTATGTGGAAATATCATCTCATTTTTCGATGCTTTAGCTAATAAGAATCAGAAGAGTGAATTCGCATACTTTTCGCTATGGAACTGGTGCTAATATGATAAACTTAATTTTCACAAAGATATCGATATATTAAACGCATATTCCACCACCCAAAATTCAATGTATTGTTTTACTTTATTACGTTATTCGTATATATCTTCAAACTCTAGAATCTTAATCAGTACTGAGTACCATACTACTAATATAAAATTTGAACCAGATCAGAGTATTTTTAGTCAAGATATCATATATATTAGTACAGCAAAACTAGTAACAGTAATAATTGTATATCTCTGCTCAGGAGGCCTAGACAACCGAAACCTTGTAGGGTGTTTAATAACTCCCTGAGGTCTATCGTTTGGGCATGTACCCGATTCAAAAGCGAGGGGACAATTGGGGACCTTCCCTCGTAAGTTGATTTTCTTTAAACTAATACTTATCAGTTTAGTTATGGTCGAGATAAATCTCAATAAAATTGAATAGAATTCATATATTAAAATCGTATTTACCAGAATAACTCAATGCAGTAGATTACGGCAAAGAAAACCAGTCTATAGATTATCGACTCTATTCATTAATATCTCTGATATTTATCATCAAACTTGTTGACAAAATTAGTATAAATATTAACAAAATGTTTTAAATTTGTTACTTGCCGTTGAATTTACGATAGATCAAAATATAATCTTTATTTTCATTTATTAACTTAAAAACTTAAATAATCCTATTTATAAACAGATGTTATTAAGTATATATTTAAATATATTTATATACTCTGTAGGATAACATCACGAAAAAAAAAATAATTTCCTAGAAAGAATAAATGTTACATATTCATTAAAAATTATATGAATTATAGAAATAGAATTTCAGATGATTTTTTTTTTTTTTCATTTTGAATTTTTTAGCTCATTATGGACGTAAATTACGTTCAAAACTTGATACAGTTAAAAAACAATTTAGTGAACCAAATCCATCTTCATCATCACATCCATTAATTCGTTTACATGGATCAACATTTGATGATATTGGTATGTTTATTTTATTTTTTTTTGTTAAATAAAAAACAAAAAAAAAAAAAATCTAATATTTAATTAGGATATGGATTAAATCATGCATTACTTACAGCTAAATTAGCTCCGGCAATGACAAAATCTTATCAACAAAAAATGCGTGAATGGCAACTAATGCAAAAAAGTAATTTTTTAGTAGATTATCGTCGACAATCAATAACAAATAAACTTGAATTAAATAATAATTATCAAAAACCATTAATAATGTCTAGAATAAATGAAACATCTATTAAATCACAACAATCATCATTAATAAATAAATCAAATAATAAAATTGAAACAAATATATTATCATTAAGTCCTATTTTATCATCACATCAACGAACATTTCTTGTACATCAATGGCGTGAAATAATGTCTGAAGAAATTTTACTTCATCATTATAATGAATATTTACAAAATAAAATTGAAAAATTAAAACAACTTGAAACTAATTTAAAATCTTTAAAAACAAATATTTTTTGTACAAATAATCAAGATTATTTATTAAGACATCGTTCATTAACAAATATTGAACAATTTAATTATAATTTATTAAATCAATATAAACAAACATATGTACCTAGACGTTGTCATTCATTTCAATCATTAATAACAATGCCTACTTCATGGATATTAGCTGTACAAAGTGCAGCTTATTCAGATATATTAGATGGTACATCAAAAACAATAACTAAACCAACAATAATATATAATGAAAATTTTTTTAATCAATTAAATCATTTTAAAAAAGATCGACAACATTTTGAACAAGATGTAATAAAAGATTTACAAACAATTAGACATTCAATGTAAGTTATTAATATATAATCTATTATTTTTGATTAATCTTTTATCTTTCTATTGTATCATCATGAATCTATTCATAGAAACTATTCATTTAGAATAATTGAATATTGTATGAAGCTTTCAATAAGCTACAAAGTTGAAAAACAAAAAAATTCATTTTCATCATTTCTTGATAAACATGGGAGCATTCTCATGTCATCCGCTTCGTTTGCCAAGCATAACTTCGCAATAGAAATATTTTATAAATAAATCATTATTCTTATGAATGTACTAATTTCAGAGTAACCTACTACCAATATGTCACAGGAACCTTTGGGAAAATTTATTTATGACATGTTGATAATAGAATATCCATCTTTTTAAGAGATTTGATAACTAGTCAAGAAAAAAAAGAAATCAAAAATACAATTGATAAGGTCATAGACAAATATCCGTATCCACAGTCATCCTTTAGAAATTACGTTATTGTAGTAATCTCATACATATGGGCGAAATATGAAAGTAAATGAGGTGAATCGCTTGGAAATGTTCCGTTTATGTTTTAGAACTAATTTAGCTTGCAAGTATTATCTTTTTTCATTTGTAACTGTAGTACGTTTTGAAGAAAAAAAAAATGTTTGACCTATTCTTTTTTTGTTTTTCTTGATTTAAATATCGATCAAGTTCGTATATATATATTTTTTTTTTTTTAATATTTAACTAGTATTTTGTACTTTGGCTCTTGATACTGAAAATATTCTGTTAATAATCAATTGAAGAGATCAGCTTTCGAGTTTTAATGAATAATTTATTTAACAGATATCGACTTTATTAAGTAATCAATGATTATGATATGTACTTATAAATTTGTTATTGTAATAAGTAAATATTATTTTTTATTTAATGAATAAAAATATTTACTCAAGTGATATTTATTCTTTCTATGAATACAAAAAAAAAACAAGCACTTGCTTTAATTTTACTATGTTATATTCAAAACTTTCTATTTATAAATTAAAAAATAATACTCCTGTCTAGTCGTATATTCAATAGCTCGATACTTTCTCTATAACTAATACTAGTTGCAGCTCTGAACAACAGGACAATCTGATGCAAAGTTCTTGTGCTCAATCATTTGCGTTTCTTGTATACACTGACTAATCCTGAGAGCAAGTGAACCTCAAAAGTTAATCATCATGCTATCGAATGCTTGGTTCGAGAGATTTGAGTTCATATTAAGATTTAACTACACTATCAAATCTTTAATATATCTATTTTTAAGAGGTTCTAGACTTTCAGAAAAATCGAATATTCGAATTTCGATCTGAAATTTTGTGTATATCGAAAATTTAACTAGACTAGCTTTCGTACATAAAATTCAGACAGTCTTTTTGAAATACAAAGGTTTCAAAAACAAAAATCATATTCTATATATACCACCTATGTCAAAGGACTTGTATTTTGAAAGCTCCATAACTTGTAGAGATTTTTTTTTGTTGAATTCAATTTGTTTGAAAACAGACAAATTTCAATAGGAATCTACATTATTTTAGAGTTTTTCCTAGAACACTATGTATTCTCTATAGATGAAGAATCCTTGAAATCGGAAAGAATGCATCTGAACTATTTTCTTCATCAGTCATTAAGAAAATTATTGAATTCAAATTATCTAACAAAGAGTACATCTCGGAGAATTATTTCTAATAAACTAATAATCTAATCAGAAAACATAATATTTACTATATTATATAAATTTTAAAATAATTCTTTTTTTGTCATGATAGAACAAATATTTCACATGAAGAAAATATAAATAATAAACGATTAAATCAACAACAAATAAAAATTCCTTTAAATCGTGTATGTCTACGTAAATTATCACTTATAACACCAAATGAAATATCTCAAACAATAACATCAAATTCAATGATACCATTACAAACAACAATAACTAAATTAGAATCATCAATTCATATTGATCATTTATCAACACCAACAAATAGTGAACCAGATCCACCAAGTTTACCATCATCATCAATAGCACTTAATAAACGTTCAAAACGTTCACGTTTTGATTTAAAAAAAACTTTACAACGTAGTAAAAGTATATGTATGACACAATTTAATTCTTGGCTTCAACGTCATCGACAACAACATTCATCTTTACCAAGACGAAAATCAGCTATTGATTCAAAAACATCAAAAGAAATAATATCATCAACATGTTCAACACCAAAATTATTTGGTTCACCTCGTTTAGCTCGTATTCATAATAGAATATTTAAACAAAATCCATCTTCTTCTTTACCATTACCATCATCATATCAACAATCATTACAATTAACAGAACTTCAATCATCATCATCATCACCATCACCACCATTACCAACACAAATATTTGATGATTCTGATGAACAATTTCAACAAAAAGAACCACAAGTTCGTATTTATTTACCAGCTCGAACATCATCAATAATTCGTCATGTACGAATTACTGATGAAAATCTTATAGCAGATAATAATATTAATATTCCACCACTATTAAAAATATCATCACCAATATTAAATCGACGAAATTTATTATCGTCAACGAAAAATAATAATAATAATAACTAGACTATTAAATATTTCTTATTTAATAATATATTTAGAAAAGTTTTCATTTTGTTTGTTTATAATAATTGATATTCTTAATATATATATGATTTGTGTGTTTTTTTTTTTTCACAATTATTTATTTTCTTTCTTTTTTTTTTGTGTTTTTGACAACTAATATCACAATAACAAAAAAAAAACTATATCCGAAAATAATATATTTAAAAACTTGGCAAGCATAGAAATCATTCATATATTTACGACTAATGATAGTCATGCTCAATTCTATTATCATATCAATCGGATTTGTTCGCTCTATTTTTTTTTTTCTCAAAAATAGTCTTGCAAGAATGAAAAAAAAAGAAAATTTCATTTGTATCGATGCGAATGTCTTTACGCTTAGATTGTTATGCACAATAGATAATGGATAATAAAATCATCTTACAAGAAAAGCGTCTAGTCTAATTATATCATCTGGTGTCTTGTATTGTCTAAATCATTTTACATTTGAATATATAATCTGGTATGTTAAAAGAGTGATTACGTTTTTTAAAACTTTCGAAATAGAGTAATAGGTTGACAGAAATTTATATGAGAGAAAATCTTTTAGATTTCAAAAATAAAGATTTCATCGTCAATGATTACAAAATTTTAAGAAAATTTGTTATTACTTTTATGGAAAAGGTCTCGAATCTTTATATTTATCGTTTAGTTTATCCGAAGACAGTGTAAAATACATTTAACACAAAAAAAAACAAGATACATATAAAATTAATTATGGTCAAATTTTATTCTATTTCGATTATTTATTGAGCTATTATACTTTGAAAAGAGTCGAAAATAAAATAATTTTGAACTCTATCAACTTAAATCAAATATTGACAATCTTTCATAATAGAATTCATCATTGAGTTTTTATTAAATATTCATGGAAAGGTTTTTTTTTCTGTTCTCATGATAAGTGAATTGAGATGAAAAATTAAGTATATCTTTGTTCTATTTTAATAGTAAGTAATTCATTTCTTTTGTATATATTTCAGATAAGATCAGCTTAAACCCATTTCTTTTAGAGAGTGTAAGCTGATTCATCAAAACAAAATTATTCATATAATGGTAATGAGACTTAGAGATATAGGATACTTCATAGAAAACTATGATATTTTCTTATCGAATAATGACAGATTTAAGTTAATTTCATCTAAAATGTATACAGAAGATATGATTTATTTACAGTTCAAATAGAACAAAGATGCACTTTGCTTTTCATTTCAGATTACTTATCAAGAAAACAAAAAAAAACCTTTGCAGACATATTTAATAAAAACTCAAATGATAAATTCTCTATTGTGGAAAGTCGTAAATATTTGACTTTAGTTAACAGATTTTAAAATAAATCTATTTTCGTCTCCAACAATAATAAATTGCACATGCATCTCATTCATTTTTCTTTTTTTTTATTGAACACGTTTCAGATCGTCTTCGGATGAACTAGAAGATGAAAATGAAAATCTAAGACTTTTTCCAAGAAAGTAAATAGTTGTCATACGCAATTACAATAATTTGAAATTTACGATTTCCAACTGTCACTAAAAATGCGTTGGATGACTATGAATTTTAAAAAAAAAAAGAAAGCTTTTAAGGAATATTTGAATACTTGTGTAGACAGTTATTCTTAAAAATGTGAAGTTTTAAAACAAAAAATTGTTCATCTGCCAGATTTACTAAAGCTCTCTTCATTGATGATTAAGGTAAAAGAAAGTCTTTATATTAATTTACTAATGAAAATACGAGAATTAAAATAATAAAACTTTCTCTAGTTCTAATAAATAAAGATATATGAAGTTTGCCAACATTGTGAAACGATTACTCGTATTTGTCAATTAGTTTTATTATGTTTTCTAAGAAAATTATTTGAAAGATTTTTTTATTACAATGTAAATATCAAATAACTCTAACATTCTAAAACACATAATCATTCAATCAATGATCCGTTTGATTCAGAAATTTGAATATCAATAAGCCATGACTTTGGTATAAAATTCCTTTTTCTTTTTTTTACACTATTTGAAAGCATAATATTATCCTGATAGAGGAATAATATTATTCATTCTTCATATAACATGTCGTTTTTTTTTTTTTTTTTTTTACAAATTTAACAAAAAAAAAATTGGTTTTTTTCTCTATGAATCTTCGAATAGAATATCAACATAGTAAAGATTGATGACAGGAATTCATGCTCGACAAAGCAACTTTTCTTTAATTGTGTTTTATTTAATATATGAAACGGATATCGTGATGGAATAAAATAGATCTAAATAATCTCAAAACTTTGTTTAGTCCTATAAATTAAAATTGTAATTCGAATATGGAAAAAGAAAAGTGGAATTCTGCCGTTGTGTGCATATCATTGTTACACTTAAAAGTTGTTTTTTTTTTTTATTATCTGATAGTATAATCAACTAGATTATATAGTATTTGTTTGGATCGAAAAAAAAAAATTTTGCAGTTCAATGAGCGTAAACTGATATGATTGTTCATGAATAGACGTTCTATCTATTTTAGTTCATAGTTATATACATAAAAATATCATGCATACTATAATAGCGTATCAAAGAACCATATTTACTGAAATGTAATTGTACTATAATAGTAAAAATTTTGACAGAATTGTACTTCATTTATCACTTCTTTTTTATTTTAAGCGAACTAATTTTAATATGTATCTCTCATATGAACTTTAAGTGTAAATTATATTAGTAATTCATTCATATACTCATGTGAATATTACACAAATGTTTCTAATCGAATAAAATGATAGGAGGAGTCTATTATTTGTGCCATTCTACATATGCACTCAAATTTTTCAAGAGATTCTTTATTTCATCATCATGAATATTAAGTAATACGAGAGGTTACATAGGATTATTTTTTTTTTTTTTCGGAAGTTGATCATTTATATCAAAAAAAAAGATGAATAGTCTATTCGATCTGTAGTATATATAAAGAGCTTCAACGGAAGTTATATGAGTTTTTCATTGATATTTGCAATAAAAAGAATATTCAAAAATAATATTAAATATCTTAGACAAAAGATGACCTGATAATTTTCTTTTCTTTTTATTTTTCTGTGTCTTAATGTCGGCATCGAATATGAGTAGAAGAAGCCTATATATATATATATTATTCTATACAACAGAGATCAAAACAATAAATTACTTCTCTGTATATATATATTATTCTTTTGTTATATTTGTACTAGAACTTTTTTTTTTCTTGATAAACTCATTTATAAATAATGACTCGACTTAATGTCAAACAAAGAATCGTTGATCGACAAAGTAAGTGCGTAAAAAAGAAAAAAAAATGATCTTTTCATGACATTACCGAATTGATGAAAGATTATGTGCAGCAATGTTATTTTCTTTTTTTTTGCAGAAAAAAGATAGAAGGAAAAAAAAAAAAAACTAACAGATAAATTAGAGTATCTAATCATTTAACGACTAAAATCATTACATAGCTATTGAAAAATATCTTATTACAACTGATCACGTTTAGTAACTTTGCGTGTATATAAAAATAATTTTATAGTATTATTTAATTCTACAAGGAAAACATGTTCCGGTCGTTATTCTATACAGTTTATATGAATGTTTTATTACTATATGCTTTCTTTTTAGTTCGATTTCATGATTTCATATTTATCATCAATTAGAAACAATTTTATCGTTATTATATTAGAGAACAGATTTTTCTGGTACTATGATAATTACATTTCCTTATTTTCCGAACCTGGGAAAAAAAAGAAATACTAGAACTAAAAATATATACACTAAATATTTAGTGTATAAAGCGAACATCTGTTCCATGATAGAGTTAGATCTTTTCTTTTTTAGAATAAGACGTCCTTATGTTAATGTCATAATCAATTTGGAAATGTTTTTTTGTTTTTATTCATTGATTAGACTATAGAAAAATGAATAGTGTTTTGTTTTTTCTTTTTTATGAAAATTTCTTAAAGCTTTTTCATACGTTCTAGATAACATGTTTTTGAATGCTATCTAATGATAAACGTAGAGTTCCTTTTTTTTTTCTCTTTCTCTCTCTCTCTCTCTTTCTCTCTGTATATAATAGAATGATTCGACAAAAAGAAAAGAAGCGACAAAAGAAGAAAAATACTTTTTTTTTTAACAATAAAATAAGTCTTAAAAATGCATCACATATATATCTCTAAGCATATGTAGATACGCACCGTGATTGTGTTTTTATATAAAAAAAAAAAAAGTATGACCTACATATATATGTACTTGAGCTTTATAAATATTTTGTAAGTTATACATATGATAAATCATTTTGTTACGGTATTTATCATCGTGAGAGTTCAATAATAAATTCATGATAATTTTCTATGAGAACTAAACAACACTTACTTTGATAAGAAAAAATCATAATTTTTACTACATATACTCTATGGAGGATTATATGATGCCTGATTATTAAATTGGAATAATACTAGAAGTTTTTGTTTTTTTCTCTTCATCTCTATTTCTCTTATATTTATTCGAAGGATAAGATACATCTGTTATTTGTATATTTATCTTTACTCATAAAGTATGTTTCTAATCGACATATGAAATTCAGTTATGTGCAGATCTTTAATCCATATTTAATTTCATTATATTATTGTAGATTTTATGTGTATAAAATAAGCTCAATGAATTGCAGTGAAGGTAAAATAAATATAAATTTAATTTGATTTTTTTGTTTTCTTTAAATAAATTCAAGATCCAAGTCGTCTTGCTGAAAATGATTTTCGTTCATCATTTGCATTTTGGACATTAGGTGTTATAAGTATTATTTTATCATTTCTTGCAAATGCTGGTAATTTAATTAATTTATTTGTTCTTACACGACGTCATATGCGTTCAACAATGACAACACTTTTAGTTACACTTGCATGGGCTGATCTTGTACCTCCAACAGTTGTTTCATTAAATAATATTTTATTTTATTATTTTTTACCA